GGTTCTGGCTGTTCATGCCTCCTCGAACATATGTCATTGTCATTCTCGACTGCATGCCATGCCAAACGCTGCCGGTCGAAGCCAATGTCCCAGCACATTACTTTCCTGCCTATCAATCTAACTTTTCTGCTTTCCTGTTTACGCTCGCATGGTTTTGTTACTTTTATTCGTTGGCTGTCCCGCCACTTAGTAGATACTCCGTACGGCTACGCGGATACTTTCGTCGTCCTACATGAACGCTGGTCCTCACTGTGCGTGAAGGATCAGTTGCAGATTACCGCGCTATAGGGTCACTGTTGCGATATATGTCTATCGCGTCAAGTATGAAATCACGTCACATAATGTCGCCATGCCTATGTTGTACAGATGATGCGAAAGCATGAAGCCGAAGCCAAAACAAATCATACACGATTACCTGCCTAAATAAACTGATCAAGCAACACGGACTCATCGTGCAGTTGCTCTGTCTCTTGCTAGGATCTCTTCTACACGTCTCACCTTGTGGTCGTTGCCATCACCTGCGAGAGTGTCACGATCTACGCGTGTACCAATGCGGATGTCGGTGGCAACTCGAGGGGCACCTTTGGCGTGTACTGCAGCATGGCAATCATGTATGGCTTTAGACACTTCGCTCCAAGGCCCCTCTGATGAGCGTTGTCAGCAAAAAGCAAAGGTCGACCACCAGTTGCTACTGACCAAGATTAGTACCATATCCGCTGAGACATGTATCGTCATCAGAAGTTCAACATATAAATAAATGACTCGGATCTTACTGCATCTAAAAGCAAGATTGGTGAGACCTAGACGAAACAGCTCGCACATACTCATTCTCACCTTAAATGTTAGGCCTGGTTTTTCCAGGACTCTGTGGCACTCTGCAATATATTCTGCGACCTAGAACGTGTTATTTTGGAAGACATCCCCTATTTCTTGTGAACGTACAGAAGATTGTCCTGTTCCGATCGGGATGAGGCAGAAATCTAGACTAATGGTGAGCTCTTGAATGATGATAATTTTACTAGAACTCAACTTGCGACAGCATAAAGATCGTTTGGCATGTTGGTCGTCATTATCGAAGTGAAATACCCCCTTTTTTGAGCTTTTATAGCTACTCCGACGGAGAGTGCCAGAAGGGGGCCGAGGGAACGGAATAAATAACGTTTATGGGTTGCGCTGCTGCTGCATAGTGTAGGAGGCAGAAATATTTTGGGGCGAGTTCTGCCAAAAAAAACGGCAGAACGGCAATTGGCAAAACGGCAAAAACTGGCAAAACTAAGTCCCCACCATTATCTCCATCATCAGTAAAGAAGAGCAGGCAAGCTGCTGGGTGGAGAGGACTTTCAGTTGACCTCATCACCAACCCGGAGAATCATCCTACACTGTCCTTGAAAGAGGCAGATAGCGATGACGACGACGACGATGCAGATTAAGTCCCAGTTGGACTGAAAGAAAGATTAGGTGCTCGAATAGTGAGGCTCGTCGGACGCAAACTACTCATACTCACGCAGTATTTCCCATTACCGCAGTGGTTGCAGTCTCTCTTATGCAAAAAAAAGATAGGGCAATGCTCAATGTCAGCATCACTGGCAGATACTGATGCTGTCAAAGCAGCAGCAGCAACGCTAAGGTTGCGGCTGAGTCAACAAGCCTATCTACTTTTACCATGAATTCGTGTCAATAGAAGCGATTGAGGGATTACTTACGAGAGGTCCTGATGCACGGACGACTTCGAGACAATGTATGCAAGAGTTCCTCACTGCAGCGTTCTTCAAATTTCGCAGGGAGGATCCCCGGCACTGTTCAGTGAGTGGTCCTGGCTGTTCATTGCTTTAGCTTGTTCTGCCAGACGTGTCCAGAGTATCACTCACGGCAAGCCCGACTTAGAAGAAATATACACAGATGCGCTCCACCAATCAAACAAACACTCTGAGCCGAGACAGTAGACGTTTGATTTGGAGTGGATGGATACGAAGATGGACGATCGTTCGTATATCAAGGCGCTTATACCGTGGGTTATTCTGGGACATGTCCTCTTCACAGATTCATGATGCTGCGCATACTAAGCTCTCTGTGATTGGCATCATGTGCGTCTTCCAACATCATTGATGGTCGCGATCTGGAGCGATACGGTTAGTTGACTTCAATGAATGCCGGTAGTCTTCTGGTGCCATGAGTCATTACCGCTCGCTGCTGTGCAAAAAAAGAAACCCGACTGACTTAGCTTGCGCTATATCCAATCGCTGGGTCTTCGTCACTACTTACTTTGAGATAGCGAGCGCTCGCGTTGCAATGGTGTACATCATAATATTATCGGCTCCGAACCCATCATCAGTACCGCGTCCAATGGCATATATGATGCTTATCATCCAACTGGTCTCTTTGAGTGAGGTACAAAGCACCTAGTCGCAGTATTTCACATGTGCACACCATGGTACCACTTGAAGTCTCAGCACTGCTGGAATTGGATTTCCAGATAAGCGATCATGCTATTAGGTTGATCGCGTATGGACGACTGTGTCGAGTGTTATAAAACCGAGGGAAATAAGAAGTAAAGCAGAGATTTATGTACAGAAACTGGATGACATACGGTCATTGCGGTAGAACCATCGTTATCTCTTGTCGGCAGTCGGTGTATGTCATAACAGGTGTGCAAAGCATGGGTATCCATTGGCAATCGAATTGGTATAGGATGCAAAAATAAACATTATCAGACACAGCGGATATCTACAACAAGATCAACAAGATTAATAGATGCCGAGATGAAAACGGCTACCTATGTGCTAGTATGACCATCGTCGGTACCAGGAGATACACAGCAGAGAAAAAACACCACGAGCCCATGGTTTGAGGTTCTTGGTGTGTCCGGCCCTCTCACTGGCTGTTTCCGGCCGCTGAGCAACGTACAATGCCTGCAAGAATCATCAGAACGCCAGCAATTGACACAGTCAAGAAAGACATACCTGTGTGTCCCGCATTACAGCAACCTCGACAACATGAGGACTGCAATGAGAGGATGTAGTTCGCTTTGTGCATTGCTAGTGATCGATTTCGGCGTTGGGCAGAGAACGAAAGAGTGAGGACAGGTGACCCACGAGTGCATGTGGACGTGACCCCGAAGGTGTATGGAGTTGTTCAGGTTCAGTTGCTTCTTCAGTGTTCGGTGGAGAGCGAAGGAGTGAGGCCAGGCGACCGATGAGCGCATTCGGACGTAACCCCGAAGGCCTTGGGGATTGCTGAAGTTCAGTTGCTTCATCAGTGTTGGGGCGAGAGCGAAGGAGTGGCGTCAGGCAACCGAGGAATGCATGTGAACGTGACTCCAACGGCACTTGGGGCTGCTGAGGGTCATCCCATTCATCGTTGTTGTGTCGAGAGCGACGGAGCAGCGAGGAAAGGCGAGAAGTGCAGAGGGATCAGGATGAGCACCCGGAGGACTGAGAGCAGAAGTTTGGACATTGGATGAGACCAATATATAAAAATGTTGATGATGCACATAAACATCGTTTTCTGGGTCGTCAAAAAACCCTTCATCGACATCCTCCAACTGGTCTGAACATCGCGTAGCATCAGCCTGGAGTGACGATGTTATAATCATTGATGAAGTGTAGAAACACGTAACATACATCCAAAAACAACTCGTAATCTATGTCCTGCGACGAGCGGGAGACGTACTCGATTCATGAAATGATGCATATACCTTCTGTTTGAGTTTGCCATTTGACGCCTAACAATGGACACTGTCAGTGATATAGAATGGGCAATTATTGACACTTACATCAGTTATGGACAGGAGGACTTCGATGCCAGCTTCTTGGAGGATGACGCCAATGTCCCATAGGTACATATTTTTGTCCCTACAACCTGTAGCTAGCAGCTTTCCGTCAGTGGAAAAGGCTACACAATCCATCTGATGTCTGTCGTGCTGAAGGGGCAGACCGACTGGGAGATTCGTGTCGAGGTTCCAAAGACGCACTGTTCTATCCCATGATGAGCTTGCAAGGAGGCGGTCATTCCGAGGTAAAGTGATGGCTTTGACAACGTCCGTGTGGCCCTCCAGAATGGTGATCCGCTGCCATGTGGCGGTGTCGACTATCCCGATTTGGCCATTTCCCATCCCGAAGATTAGCTTCTTTTCATCCGACGTCCATGCCAAGCTCCAAGCTGCCCAGCCGTCTTCGATTGTGGTCCTGGAGAGCAGCTTGCCCGTCTTCGCATCCCAGATTTTTATTGCACTCTCGTTGTATCCGCCTGTCGCAATTTTTGTTGAGCCGGGTGAGTAGCTGACCGCGTTCACGTGCTGGTGCCCCGTCTTGATTGGATTCAGACCTGGGACGAGTTCACCGCTCTCGATATCCCAAACTCTTGCCGTGCCGTCCCAGGATCCGCTCACAACTCGCTCACCATCTGGACTCCAGCATACTGATCCCACGCTATCAGTGTGCCGCATCCATTTGGCAATGACCTTCCCCGTCTCAATGTCCCACAACCTCACTGTTCCATCAATGCTTCCGCTCGCAATCGTGTTGCCTTTTGTAGACAATTCTATTGTCTTCACTCCCACTTTTTCCCCCTCATCCCGCCAGTCGTCGCCTATCTGCGTGCCGCTCTCCAGGTCCCATGTTTTGAGTGAACCGTCATACGAACATGTGATGATGCGCTGCCCACCAAGCAAGTGCACAACACTACTTATGGAGCTGGTATGACCTCGCATGATCTTGCAGGGTGTTATCACTGACGTCTCCGGCATGACAATGGTGGGGGGAGATATCAACATGGTCGGTGTTTTGGGATCTCTGCTAAGGAATATTTTGGAGCAGCTCCCTGGATCTTCTTTGAATGTTCCGGTCAGTTAACAGGTCTATCTGCTTTTGCATCAACTTTTATCAATAGACGCGCACGAGGCATTGCTCACGAGAGAGTTTGTTTAGAGTTATTCGATCCTGACGGCTTTTGGATGATGTATGAAGGGAGAGCTTGTTACTGCGTTCTTCCAAATTTCGCAGGAGGTCTCTGAAGATACAGGATGCTGTTCAGCCGGCGTTCCTATCTTTTTCCCACCTCCGCCGTAGAAGCGCCCATAATATTACTCACGGCAGGTAAGTACCAGTTGATGAACTCAGCTGGTGAATGAGACGAGCGGGCGGACGTTTGGTTTGGAGTCGAGGGAGTTGAGCAAATATTTGTTGAGATCGTCTACTGAGGTGTGTATTTCATGCATTAACCCGGCGTTTGCTGTGCAGAGAAGCGCCCAGGCTGGCGCCATGTGCATCTTCCTACATCGTTGTCTGCCTTGATCGTCATACCAACATTTTATAGAGTGCCACACATCATTTCCGTTTCTCGAACCCGATTTGTAGGACAGTGCCATACATTCATCACGCTGACTTCATGATGTTCCTGATTCGTGATTAGCAGTCCCATCTTTCGCATTGCCACATACTTGAAATTACCGTGCCACAGAATGGATGGGTTGAGTTTTTTGGCCCTGCCGTGGTGGTCTCGTCGGCAGCAGAAGCTTCGTCTTCGTGGTACACATCTGCCCATTGCTCCGCTAGCGATGTTATGCTTTTCGATTGCACTACCAAGGTGGTGCTCCTCTTGGAGAAGACAATAGACGATGCTTATCGTCCGATATGTTGAGCTACGCCCACGATCAAGGTTTGCCTTTCCTGATTTCCCCAAGTACATTTACCCTTGACGTCTCTGCTGACAGGAACTACCCATCCCGTCCATTGCGCATGAAGATGTGGTCAATCATAAAAGCATCTCAATCAGTCGAGCAAGATTGGCGGTGATCGGGACCGACGCTCCTGTGACAGCCATCATCAAGAATACGAAGCAGGGTCCAGGCGCGAATATTCTGACCGCAAGTCTCCAACATACGAGGTCCGTATATTTAATAGTGTAGGTCTTCAGCGTTACAGAGTTAATCTTATCCCCTCCCAGGACATGATGAGTGGGAGACATTTCGTTGTCTTAAGTGACCAAGCCTACCAGATCGAAACATCGTCCCGCTAGGTGAAGTAGTGTTGACGTTATCTCTCTTTTCAGCATTCAGTGTGTCATGATCAGTAGGAGCACAAAGCA